AAGTTTTGTAGAAAAAAAAAAACAAGCTTTATTTATTGATGGATGGTGATTTTGAAGTTTTGAATCCTCCAACTAAGGTATGACTCAATTTATGAATATTTTGTTTGTTTGATTTCAAATTTTTTTAAGTTTAGAAGATGAGTATTTGGGTTTCAATTTTTTCATCAATCCCGAATGGTTTGTTAAACTTTCTGCAATTGGAAAATTCTAAGGAAAAACTTCTTACCAATTTTCCTAGATTATAAACTTCATTGGTTGTTGATAAATATAAGGGGATGAATTGTTTAATTTGTTGCTTATGTACATCAGTAGAAAAAAAAAAAAAAAAGTAGCCATAGAAATGCTAGTGGGAAGAGGGGGTGGGGAAAGAAGGCCTTTAAAAAAAAAAAAAAAAATTCAATTACAGATGTTGACACACGCCGATCCTAAAATCAAGGCGTGCTGGCCGTCACGTGAGCGTGACGTAACCCCAAGTGCGATGCGGAAACAAAGATAAAAGAAATACGAAGGAATACAAAACCAACTACTAGCAATAATATCCAAGTAACATGCTAGAGTGAGTTGAAGTGTGAAATTACATATTCAGAGCATAAATACTAGGTGCAGTCAAGTAGGAAAATAACTGAATTACAACACCCGAAGGTGAGTCCTACATTTATGTAGTCTGTTAGAATGCCGCGTAAATCCTCGTGAGTCACCACACCGCTAACGAGAACCTGGAGTGGCGCAAAACAAAATTGAGTGGGTCAGTAAAACAAAGCTTTTCGAAAACATTTCATTTAACAACATTTCTAGCCCCTCACTGTAAAACCTGTATACTTTCCCAGAAAATAACATAATATGCATATAATTCTTCAAATAACTCAAATCACCAATCTTTATCAAAAACCAGAAATTATGCCATGCAATAAGCGTCAATAACAGAACAAGGATGCAACATTATAACAGGTGAAATAATGAATCAACCGGAGACCCTGCAGTTGGTCCTGTACGGTTAATTCTAAAGCTCAATATCCAATCTAACCGGAGTCACCACAGTGACATGTACGACACGACTCTGCACATAAATCGGAACTACCTGAAGTAGTCTGTACGATAAGAAAGGTGTAAGAATACGCTCTAGTGCTTCTGTCATCAACAGCTGTATAATAATCTAAAATCACCTACAAGTCGAAACCACCTCTCATGGTCTGTACGACATGTCGAAACCCTCTATTGGTCTGTACGATATACACTTACTTGGATCCAAGGTGAGCGTGTGGTGCGGGGTGAATAATATAAGCACTAACACCAAGGGTGCATGTTTGAGCTTTCAATACAATTCACATCACAATAAATCACATGATTAACATAAAACTCACCTGATACTCACCTATGCGTCCACGGCACCAATTCACATATATATATGCATCAAATACTATTTCACATATTTCATGACATGCATGCATGGCATTTTAAAACACACTTTCATTTAAATTCAATTTATGGGAAAAATCAATAGTATATAGGTAAATACAAAAAATACTGCCCACTCACTGGTAAGTCGAAAGGTCGTAACCCCCGTGACGTCCTTGAATACGCTCGTCCTCGGGATAGGTATCACCTATATGCGAAACAACTATAAAAACGTTAATTAAAGCACATAACCAACAATACGTAATAACTTCTCATACAATGCTCAATTTGGGTATATGAATATACCACGGTGACCTACTCGACGTCACGGATGTCGAGGTATTTTTAAAATAATTTTTGGACTTGCCACGGTCCCCCACACGTCGGGATAGGCACGGGTCCATGCGCCCCCACGCGCGTCATCCCCTACCTCCAGTCGTCGGAAAAACTCACCGACACTGGAAACTAGGCAACCCTGCAATCGCCCTTTTCTCGCTCGATTCTCAACCATTTTCCATGAAATTTTCACCAAAACTTCACAAATTACGAGAGGAAGAAGGCTATACCTTTAAAAACTTCCAAATCCTTCGAAATCACGTCGGGAAATTTCACCCAAAATCGGCCACCTTCGAACCTTGTGATCCTGACGTCCAAAACCTTCAAACGAACGTCCCCGAGCTTCGTGAGAACCTCCTAAAGCTCACTATGAACTTGGATTGTCCTAAAAACCAGCCATTACAAAGTTCATGAACAGTACTCAAATCGGACCTCGGGTTTTCAAAGTGAAATCAAAAGATTTCTTACCTGAAATGGGTATGGGTGAGTTCGTAGGGTCCCTACGAGTACAATGGTACCCTTGAAACCTTCGATCCGTGCTTGGATGATCGTGGGTGAGTGTGTCCGTACGGTTTCGAGAGGAAGAGAGAGAGAAACTGAGAGGGAAAAGAGAGAGAGCACGAGATGAATGTTGTCCCGTGTGTGTGGTCCATCCAAACAATAACAATCCCAATTCTTAGGTCCCTAGCCACATAAATTGAATACCATTTTAACCTATTTAAATTTTCCAAGAATATAAGGAGAGTAAACATTTAACAATTGACATGTCACACGTACCTTAGCAACCGTTAAGGGCAATTCCATCATTTCATATCAACGAATATGAAATTCCAGAACGGGTTGTGACAGATGTTATTTTATAAAGGGAATGAGTGTAAAGATAACTTAACATTTTGAATTGGGTTTGAGATAATAGTTTAGGTAATAAATTTGGGTTTAAAGAGAGATTAATTCTTTAATAAAAAAAAACACTATGGGTTAAGAGAGTAAATTAGGTAGAAAGAGGTTACATGGTTCAAATAAAATTTCTCTGCATGTATTGTATTTGGGACAATACTTAGACATTGAGTATTCAGTACCATAAGTATACTAACTCTAACGTGGCCCACTAACAAACATACATGTATATGTTTGTAAAATATCTACTATTCTTGCAACCGAACATCTATCATCTCTCTGACTTCAACCATGGAGAAACAGAGACCCATTTTTACAGACCATTTTAAAGGCCTTCCTCCCAGAAGGCAAGTTTCGAACCTTCCTCTTTGTTGCCCTTATGCGCCATCTTCCTCTTACCAACCCCAGGGGCTTTAGATCTCTTTACTACTGATAGATTTTTCATTCACAATCAATAACACATAATTCCAGATCCGTGGGGATGGGTCCTATTTTCTCCATCTTTGGGGGTTGTTTTTCATTCACAATCAATAATACATAATTCCAGATCCATGGGGATGGGTATTCTTTTCTCCATCTTTGTGGGTTGGGAATGGGATTAACAGAGATCCGGAGGAGACTGAAGAAGGGATTACGGTTGGACGACGAAGGAAGGGGTAGGAGTGGGATCGACGGGAAGGAGATGCGATTGGGATGGACAGAGGAGAGGTTGGGGGAGGGGAGGAGGTGTGGGGATGAGATTGACGGAAAGCGGTTGGGGGTGCCGCGTCTGGGAAAGAAGGAAGAAGATGGGTGTTTGGATGTGGGTTGAAGATAAAGTTCGGGTGTTTGGTTAACAAGATAACAAGTGTTTGGGAAGAGTTTTAAATGACAGGTGTTTTAATCTTACTGGACCATGTCATTAGGTTAGTATTTTGGGTACTGAACAGTTTATACCTTAGTATTGTCCTTGTATTTGTGTGTTCCTTTGTTGTTTTTATTTTATTTTTTATTAAAATGATCAACTTGTGGCAAAGTTCACTCTTTTGGGAGCTTAGAAGACTTATATAGGCATTTCAACTTCCTTTGACCACCAAAGTGCGATTCACCAGCGCTATGAATCGAATTCAAGGCGTGCCCTACGAAATACGAACTTGAAATTCATTCCCAACTACTAAACCACTCTATGGTGGTTTAAATTCATTTGTCGTTCACTGCATTGTAATTTGCATATCTATATTATCTATTTTATATTATTAAGAGAACCCTCCTTGTCAACTTTTTTTCCCTTTTTTCCCTATTTTGCCTTCACTTTTGATACACACTATTGACAAAAAGGAGGGTAAAGTAGTAATTTTGTACCTTTTGACAAAATATTATTAAGAGAACCCTCCTTGTCAACTTTTCCCCCTGTTTTTCCTATTTTGCCCTTACTTTTGATACACACTATTGACAAAAAAGGAGGGCAACATAGTAATTTTGTACAATTTGACAAAATGACAATCATATCCCTATTTTTCCTATTTTACCCTTGTTTTTTTTTTTTTTTTGAGAAAATGACAATCATGTACTTATTTTTGTAATTTTACTCTCACTTTTGATACACAATATTTACATAAGGAGGAAAAAATAGGAAAAAAAGGGGAAAAAAGTTGATAATGAGGCTTCTCTTAATAACACTTTTGATACATAATATTTACATAAGGAGGACAAATAGGGAAAAAAAAAAGGAAAAAGTTGACAAGAAGACTTCTCTTAATAATAATATAGAAAAAAATATGGACTTATTAAGGGGGAAAAAAGTTGACGAGGATGCTTCTTTTAATGACACTTTTGATGCACAATATTTACATAAAGATGACAAAATAGGAAAAAAAAATAAAAAAAAGGGGAAAAAGTTGATAAGGAGGCTTCTCTTAATAATAGTATAGAAAAAAAATGCAATTATTAAGAAAAATTGTTCACACACACACAAAGTGTGTGCTCTCTGCTAGTAATAAATAATTACAGATGTAAAACCAATGGCTCAAATGAATTGGTGGATGCTCTTTTTCCAGCTATCAACTGTAAAAGCAATATTAATAAAAAGTATTTTTGGTGAGGAAAAACAACCAACGTTTTAACTTTGATATTTGTTTTTTATTGCAAAATGGGTAGAAAGTAGAAACAAAAGCAAGATCGTTGGGACAAATTACAAGATCATATTCCACAAGGCACATTCTGGATTCGGTTCTTTGTATTAGTGAATAGTACGATGGTGCCCAAAGAAAGCTAGAATGTATCTGTGAGTCTTTCCGGCAACTAAGAGAGTGGACTGACGTGGTGAAATCATATGTTGATCCCTTTTAAAAAAAAAGAAACAAAAGCAAGTCCAAATGGAAAAATGGAAAAATGTTGAATCCGCATGGTAATCTCTGGCGGGTCTTTTGAAGACTTGGGACTGCACTGCGTCCTCTCTCTCCCTCTCCCTCTCCCTCTCCCTCTCTCTCTCTCTCATATTACTATAAACTCACCAAGTGATGAAACAATAATAAGGCTAAAGCAACGCCTTCAAAATCCTTCTCAAATTTCTGATCAATTTATTCTCCACCCATCACTCAACACTCCCGCCGCTGAAGCTCTCCGGTAAATCTCTTTCGGCTTTTGGCGTTTGCCTTTCATTTTTTCCCACATTATTTTCTGTACAATTTGCAAAAACCATATAAATATGCAAATGTGTGGTGGCTTTTATTTTTTATTTTTTTATTTTTCTGGGTTCCTTTCGTTCCATTGCAATGATCTTGTTCGTAATATATGGTGCTTGTTTGCTTCTTCTGCTAGAGTTTTTGAGTATTCGAGGGTAATGAAATCGTGGGGTTTCGAGGATTCTTGGGTTGGATTCATGAATGTGACAATAAGGAAAGGATTGTCTCGTTCATGCTCTGTTTGGTTGCCAGGAAAATGCATGCAGGCGACGAGAAAAAAGCAGGAAATTTTTGGAACGTCAGTCAATGTCCAGAAAACTATCTTGTTCTAGCTGCAGGCCAAAGAAAAACTGTCATCAAATTTTTCTTTGGCCATCAGTTTTTCTTTGGCCATGAGAAATACCAGAACAATAGAAAAAATAGGCCTTTTCTGTCTCCATCTTTGCCAAATCCATTATTTTCTTGCTTACCAAACACAGATTCTGGCAGCTGAGTTTATGTTTTTCCCTTCAACCCAAGTAATGTTTCAACACAAAAGTCTCTTCAAACTTTGTTTTTAGAATAAAAATATTGGGATTTCAGCAGAAATGGAGAGCTTCAAGTCCCCATTCAGGGGTATTGCAAATGATGTCCGAGGAAGAGCAGCATGCTATAAACACGATTGGGTTGGAGGTTTTCAGGCAGGAATCGGGTAAGTAATTTCCCATTTCTTTTACTCGAAACAATTGGAATCAAATGTTTTGGATTTGTTCACTCTCCCTTATCTTTGGTCCTTGAAATTTTAATTTGGTCTGCCTTTTGTTGTGCTAGGATTCTCGCCCCAACAACCTACATCTTCTTCGCTTCAGCTCTTCCTGTTATAGCATTTGGAGAGCAACTGAGCACAGATACAGGTTTGTTGATATTTTTCATCAATTATGGAGTATAATTCATTGGATGCTCCTATTCTTCATCAATTATTCGCGTGATGTGACGACAATGTCAACATAAATAATACAAACATATACACGTTTGTTGAGTTTGAACTCACTTGGATTTTTCGTTGTCTAGATGGAATTTTGAGCACGGTAGAAACCTTGGCCTCTACTGCTATTTGTGGTATAATACACTCGATTTTTGGTGGACAACCTCTCTTGATTTTAGGAGTCGCCGAACCCACTGTTATTATGTACAATTACATGTACGACTTTGCCAAAGGAAGGAAAGAATTGGGGCCGGAGCTGTTTTTGGCTTGGGTTGCATGGTAACGAGAATCAAACTTTTAGAGTTTCAAAACTTTATATCCTCGTTGACAATGCAAGATAATATAAATTTTCACCTTATTCACTTGAATTTTACAGGGTTTGGGTCTGGACAGCTCTTTTCCTCATTCTTCTTGCACTATTCAATGCTTGTGATATCATCAACAGATTTACGAGGATTGCAGGCGAACTTTTTGGCATGTTGATTTCTGTTTTATTCATTCAAGAGGCTATCAAGGTAAGATTCATATAGAAAAGAAAGTTATGATGGTAGATGATGGAAAGTAAAGTGACAAAAGGTTGGCATTTCAATGGAAGGGTATAGTGAGTGAATTCAAAATTCCCAAAGGCGAAGATCCAAAGTTGGAGACGTATCAATTTCAGTGGCTTTACACAAATGGACTGTTAGGGGTCATATTTACTTTTGGACTACTGTATACTGCTTTGAAGAGCAGAAAGGCAAGGTCCTGGTGGTATGCAACAGGTTTGTCAAGCACAATTGAGTCACTTGGTTGTCATTACTAGGATGTGTGCAACTTGAGGATATTTAGCCCCAGTTTGGGGTTGAGGTGATTTTAAAAAAAGCTCCTATGAAAAAAAGCTGGGAGTGTTTTTGGTGTTTGGTAAACTTAAAAAAAAAGGCTTATTTTGGAAGCTGCTGTGAGAATAAGCTGAAATCAAAGGAAAAAGCTGAAGCTGCAATTTGTAGCTTTGGAAAACTGGCTTTTTTTCAAAGCATACAGAACTACAGTGCTCCTTTAATGAAAAGATCCACTATCAGACTGCTTTTTTTTTCAAAAGCACTTTTACAAAAAAGTTTACCAAACACTCTGCTGATTTATTTCACAGCCGCTTATTCTCACGACACAGCCGCTTATTCTCATAGTAGTTTTTTTTCAAAGCACAGCAATACCAAACCAGCCCTTACTATGTTTGCAGGATGGTTCAGAAGTTTCATTGCAGATTATGGAGTTCCTTTAATGGTGTTGGTATGGACTGCATTATCATTTAGTGTCCCACACAATGTCCCTCCAAGAGTTCCCAGAAGGCTCTATATCCCTGTAGCTTGGGATTCTGCGTCTTTACACCATTGGACTGTCATCAAGGTAAACTAATGGTAAAGGAAATTTTGTTGTTTAAGCTCTTTGTTTAACTGAGATTCAACCTAAGATTTGATATCGTAAAATTAGATTAATGTCCTATGAAAGACGCTTATACCTTTGTGTTGAAAACGCTTGCAGTTTAAAAGTATTTTCTTTTTTCATTCGTTTTTTGTAGGATATGGGGAAGGTTTCTCCTGGATACGTCTTTGCTGCCATTATACCTGCTGTGATGGTGGCTGGACTTTATTTTTTTGACCATAGTGTCGCTTCACAGATGGCACAACAACATGAGTTCAATCTAAAGAAGCCGCCTGCGTATCATTATGATATCTTGTTGTTGGGATTCATGGTAATTGTAACACAGTAAGATGAAACTATTTCTGTTACACTGAAGCAATAACTAATACAGTTTTCTCTTTCACGAAAAATCGGTCTCAGACTCTGCTTTGCGGATTGCTTGGGCTTCCTCCTTCTAACGGGGTTCTGCCACAGTCACCGATGCACACTAAGAGCCTTGCTGTTCTTAAGAAGCAGGTTTGTATAGGGAATGTCTAGTCAACTATCTTGTTAGTCATTCAGCTAAATTAGATACTTAAATCATCTACTCCATATGCAGTCGATACGAAGGAAAATGGTGAAGAGTGCTAAGGAATCAATAAAACAGAAAGCTAACAACTCTGAAATCTATGGGAAAATGCAAGCTGTGTTCATAGAGATGGACAACTTGACTACAGTAAATTTCTCAATTTGAACATCTTTGCATTGAAATTCTTCAACAAGTTAGCATTTTGTTTGCAATTGATCTCCGTCTATATATGCATATATATGAATAAATATACTCTTCGTGTTTGCAGTATTTTTTATGAAAATAAAAGAGGAAAGACCTCGTGCAAGTAGTTCTTGAGTCCTAATTAAGTGTTTTCCATTGCAGCCTACTTCGGAAGTTAAAGAGCTAAATGATTTGAAGGAGGCAGTTATGAAGAGTGAAAATAAAGGGGAGGATACAACGGATGCATTTGATCCTGAGAAGCACATTGATGCATACTTGCCAGTCAGAGTTACTGAGCAAAGATTGAGCAATTTGTTGCAGTCGCTTCTTGTGGCAGCATCAGTTTTTGCCATGCCTGCCATCAAGAAGATACCGACATCAGTTTTGTGGGGATATTTTGCTTACATGGCCATTGACAGCCTTCCAGGAAACCAATTCTGGGAAAGGATGCTACTACTCTTCATCTCCCCTAGCCGACAGTACAAGTAAGTAACCTTCTTCTTAAGCAAGTAGCATGATGATCGATTAACGTTGTTTCTTAAAACTTGCGGAGTTTACATTGGAGTTGCCCACTACGCACCAGGTTGAACAAAATGAAGTGTTTTCAAATTTCCCAATCCCCTTTATAAAAGTTACTAATAGTTTGCTTGTGTCAAGGTATCGACGAGTGTTACTTTCCCAATCATAATACTAACTCGGTTGTGATCATGTTTGCAGGGTCTTGGAAGGGGGCCATGCTTCCTTTGTGGAGTCAGTGCCATTCAAATTCATAGCCATATTTACACTCTTCCAGATTGTTTACTTGCTGGTCTGTTTTGGTATTACATGGATCCCCATGGCTGGAATTTTGTTCCCCTTGCCTTTCTTCCTTCTCATATGGATAAGACAGCATCTCCTCCCCAAATTCTTCCAATCACATCACTTGCAAGAGCTGGACTCAGCTGAATGGGAGGAAGTTGTGGGCGCCCCAGTACGCTCTCTCAGCCTCAGTTCTGGGGTATGCAATATTCATTTATTCGAATTTTCACTTCCACTTGCTTTTACTACTGAATCTCAATAATGTGTTTCTCTTTATTAGAAATCGGAAACTTCCAACGAAGGTGGAGTGGAGATGTGTGATGCTGAGATATTAGACAAGCTAACAACCAGCAGAGGGGAGCTGAAGATCAGAGCGAGCTTCAGCGAAGACAAACGAACCAGCTTCAGTGAAGATAGACGCGGCCAGGTAGATTACCGATAACTATTCTCATCCTGCTTCCATTAGGTATGTATTAACATATGTGTTGCCTATTGTGTTTTGCAGGTTCACCCTCAGAATTTAGGCCAAACAGAGTGAAATATGAGGCAAAAAGGATAAGATATGAAGTTATCGTTGACATGAGATTTGATTTCAGTAGTAGTTACATGTAACAGAAGAAGGTTAGTGTAAAAGTGAATGTTATGAAGAAGAAATTCTGCATGTTAATTAGTGTTATGGTTGAGGTTTGAATTGGTAGTTATCATATTATATAAATATGAACCAGTTCCAGATGCATGATGCATTTTGATGAAAAACAGTTCAGATCAGGCACCTTAATAACACTTTTCACTATTTCTCAAGTTTAATTTTCAAAAACCATCATTCTTTTTTTTCTTTTCTTTTAACCAGTAGTTTAGAAATTTCCAGGGTTCATGTGGGTTCATTCGGGCTCGAGTTATAACTTGGTTCGAACTTACTCCAATTGGGTTCAGGTTTGCCCAACTTCATTGAGTTCAATCTCGTAATACCTTATTTCACAAGATTTTCAAATTTTGAAAATTGAACCAACAATGTCAATACTAGTTAAAATTCATTTTCACACATCACCAAACAAAAGTTAAAACAAATAATGTGGAGATCATTTTTACGTTTACAACCACGCAAAGTTAAAATTGAATTACAAGATAATATCAAAGCTTCAACCAAATGAAATGGAAAAGCAACACATTATTCATTATATATCCAAATGAAAACCTACAACAAACTTCAAGTGTGGTTATACCTAGCTTATATAATATGAAGTGGGATGGTCATATGTACGTGATTGAATTCAGGCTAGAAATCGGGTAGGATTTGGGTTGACATGGGCGGCAAGACCTTAACCCAACACAACCTAATAAATAATCTGGTTGAAATTGGGTTGGGTTTGGAAAATTTTGACTTCATTCTAATTGGCCGATCGGGTTTGAAACAAGGTTAGATATGGGTGGATTCGGGTTGACCCAACCCAAGTTGCACCCCTAGCACAAGTGACAAAAATGAACTAAAATTGGGGAATAAAACACATAAAATATTGGGGTATAAATATTTAGTGTGAAGAAGAGAGAGAATTGGCAAAGAGGAAAGTGAGAGAAAATAGACTTGAGGAATTCTGTGATCAATATTCCTATCTTGTGCCTTTATTTTTACTAGTAAGAGAGATAAATAGTTGCTCTCCAAGTAATACAAACACTAACAGGAAATATCTTTTAGATTTCATACGATTCCTACATACTTTATTTAGGATTTACACAATCACACATGTGTTATAATTCTAACTACTCTTGAGTGAGTAAATAGTCAAGTAGTCAGCGCATTAGAACTTTAGGCAAATGTAGAAGCAGTTAATGAAGTCATCTCGTCTAGTCGGCACAAGTAGCAAACGAGCACATATAGGGATTGCATGTAGGAGTAAGTCTCACCAAAACCTAGGTAGGGTAAAACCCAACGAGATAAAACTCATAGTCTAAGGAGAAAAATGTGAGTAAATGCAACAAGTCGATACTTAACATCTTTAGGATGTAAGTAGTAAGAAAACGAACACAAAGGTATGACCATCCCGATGGGGTGCCTCGTCAGGTTAGCAAAAACCTAGCAGGAAAAATGCTCATGATCTAAGGGAAAAATTGTACATTAAGGTTGAGTAAGTATACTTCAAGATACTCCTATTGAGCTCGACAAAACTCCCCTCAGAACTACAAGTGTTGCAAATAGTTACGCATACTAATTTCTTAAACAAGGTTCTAGAAGGTTGACTTCAGCAAAGACGTCGTGAAGAGGGCAGTAAGGTTCTTGGGATCAAATCTGTTTGAATTTGATGCTTTGCTAATGTGAGGTAGACACTAGGATAGGTTTGGTTCTATTTGGTCTGGTTCATTTTTTTTTTCAATTTTGTTCAGTTTGGGTTTATTTTGGTTTTCGATTTTTTCTGTTCGATTTCAGCTTGGTTCGATTTTTTACTAAAAATTGTTTTTGTATAAAAGCAGAGTATCCATATTCCATTTCTATACCAGAAATTTAAACAGAATAAAAATAAAAGTTAAATCCATCCATGGAAATATTCATAGAGCCAACTGCAGGAACTCTAAAATATATATACATACAACTAAAACCTGAAATGAAATTCAAGAATACAACTAAAACTTGTCACAACAACACTACATCAAGCTTCTGGTAATTTAAATAAAAATTGAATTTTTGAAATAAAATTAAAAAAATCTGATAGAAAAGAGAAATCGAAAGAAAAGGTTGTTTGGCCGTGTTTGGGACCAAGAGGCTCCCAGGCGGCCCACAAAAGGTGCAGAAGTAGGTTTAGATCGTGGATTTGAGCTCTCTGGTGGGTGCTAATACTGACGTGTACGCCGAATTGTAGTTCTCGGTGTTGTCGAAGTCGATCTCCCTCTTGTTTAGGAGGAAGCAGGTGCAGAAGGTAGAAGAAAAACAAAATAACATAAAACGAAGAGAGAAGGAAGAGGAAAGATAGAAAAGGAGAAAATGAAAACATAAAGAATAAGAAGGGAAGGAAGAAGAGAGAAAAGAAAATAGACAAAGAATTGGGGTTTAGTTTAGTTGTGATGGGCCATTGGGCCATTTTTCGGCTTGGATTGAGTTAACAATTGGGCTTAAAATAAATGAACATAATTGAATTTCATAACTAAATTTTTAACATAAATAAATATTTAATTCGGTTTGATCGGTTTGGTTTGGTTTTTTTTTTCTTCGATTTCAATTCGAATCTTTTTTTTCGGTTTTTGGTTTTTTGAACCCACCCCTAGTAGACACAATAAACTTGGTATTGACATTGTTAATATATTATGAAGTCTGGAACTTTGTGTTTGATGATTTATGTCTAAGACTAGGAATCACAAGATGTATAAGTTGTACAGATCCATCCACCATGAATCTAAGCAAGCTAGTGCGAGCTATAGGCATCTCGTGGGAAATTCGTCAAACAACTTGGTTTCTCATAAAGATGTAAATAAATCTTCTGTTACTAGGTTTACAAATGATTAGTAGGAGTTGATCATATTCCTAAATTTGCATGTATATATTAATTTTAGAAATGAACATGAATTCTTCTCGATAGAGTTATGACTTTATTCATTATGTAATGATAGGATGTATAATGTTCTATGTACTTGGGATAGAAATCTATAAATGATGGATTTCTAGATACAATTGGATTTCCTAATCCCTATTAATAGGCAACAGATGCTTGGAAGTTTCTCAAATGATAAACTTTAAAATAGAAGGACAATTCCAGTGAGACTAAGAAGTTGCTCTTCTTAAAGGGAATGTGTCCTTTGACTCCCAAAGAAACATGGTGTGTAAATAAAATATTTTAGGGTAAATTACACAAAACTACTTCAACTATAGATCGAACCACAATCTCATACCTCATGTTTTAAAAATTACACTATCATACCTCATCTTACAAATTTGTTGCAATGTCAGACTTCCGTCAGTTTTTCTATGAATTTCTCTATTAAATGCGGGGCCTACTTGACACACCCCGACCGAGATCAAGGCATGCTGGCCGTCACGTGAGAGTGACGTAGCCATGTGCACAGTGTGGAAGCAATAAAGATAAGAAATATACGAATAATTAAAAACCAAATTACTAGAGTGCACTACTAAACAGAAAGTGATATGAGTTAGTTACAACAGTGAACACTCCTAATCACAGCATAAAGTCTAGGTGCAATCTAGTAGGACAAGTACTAGTTATACAGTACCAGGAATGTCCTACTAATATTTAGATAAGTCAAAACTGCCGACGTCCTCAAGCCACCAACAGAAAGCTTACTTAAAACCTGGAGGGGCGCAAAACAGAAAACGTGAGTGGGCAAAAACAAATGTTTTACAAAACCATTTCATTTATCAACATACTAACCCCCTCGCTATAAAACATATAAAATTTTCCCATAATTAAGTTATACATATATATATATATATATATATATATATTTGAAATCATAGCAATTCAATTCATGCTTCACATAATCATATTCATATGTATGTCATGCCAAAATATAACAAAGTAAACAATCCAGGTAAGAATGATTTCATAGAAATATGATATGTTAGCCGAAACCCTTGAGGTGGTCTGTACGGCTGAATTCATAGCTCAAAAGTCAATCTAGCCGGAGTCACTACAATGACCTATACGGCAATATACTGTACATAAGTCGGAACCATTAAAAAAGGTCTGTACGACAAGATTGGGTGAAATATAATTATGCTCAATTCTATTCTCTTATAATAGCCGGGCGATAAATTGCTAGTCACCTACGAGTCAGAACCATGAATAAGGTCTGTACGACAAGATTGTGCACATAAGTTGGATCCAATATAAGCATATAGTGCGGGAGGTGGCGTAAATAAACAGGCCTGTACTTTATATCTCTGGCTAAAACTCAATCACCCTAGGTGCAGTTTTATAAGCTAACATCATTTCACATATCACATCATCGATGAGTCACATAACCAAACATAATTTACCTAAACTTAGTTGTGCCTCCATAGCACCACATTTATATATATACAACCATGAAATGCATATTCAGAATATCAAAGCATTTGGCATATTATTTCAAAGCATACTTTCCTTAAAAAAATGCATTTCTAGGAAATATATCAAGTATATAAATATATACTGCAAACAAAAGCCCACTCACTGGTATGTCGAAAGGTCATAGCCTCCGAGTCGTGCGTGGATACGCTCGTCCTCGAGTCGCCCATGGATACGCTCATCCTCGGGATAAGTCTCACCTATATGCGGATTAACTATAAAAACTTTATTTTAAAGCACATAGGCAAAACTAGCTAATAACTTCTCGTACATTGCTCAAATTGGGTATATAAATATACCATAGTGATCTACACAACCTCAGGATCATCCCAAATTTTTTTTTTTGAGCTCCCACACACCGCCACGCACCGGCAAGGGCATGGCAAAACGCACCCCCACGCGCTGCCAAACCTGACGAATTCCTTAACCACCGTTAGGGAATATTCCGTTAAAATTGATTGACAGCGTCAGCACATTCCATCCAAACTCACGAAATGTGCCGTCATCTTCTCCGGCGAGTCACCGATCGCCTGAAAACTGGGTAAAACTTTAAACCCACTATTCTCACTCATTTGTCAACCATTTTTCATGAAATTGGTACCAAAATGAAGCTAATAACATGTAGAATCACGTTATACAAGTTTCAAGGTTTAAATTCTACTAGATTTTTCTTGAGAAAGGTCGATAGCTCGGCTTACCTAAAACCACGTTGATCTTAGTGCTCCGACGTCTAAATCTTTCCAACGAAGT